ATTGGCGGAAATGACTGGCAGAATTTGTGACCAGGGAGAAGAGCTGGTGGAAGAAGACTGGAAGAAATTTAAAGACTACTTACAGAAATACTGTAAAATCAATGAATGTTAAAATGATGTTGGACTGGACCTAAGTGGACTTAGTAATAAGATCAGTAAGAGTATGTAAAAATGGTTTGATAATTGGTTAAGGTATAAAGATGTAAATTTGATGAAAAACTGAGTTAAATGTTATGAAGAAAAAGGGGTAAGGATTTGCTGAACTAATGATATGATTGGGAATACAAAAAAGGGAGGTGTGAGGAGGTCAAAGAAACAAGCTAATGAGAATTTTGGAAAATGTGAAAATTGATTTGGTTTTTAATTATTTTTCTTTTGTGTTGTTATGTGTTTGAATGTTTTACTGTTGTATTTTTTGTAATTCTTTATTGTATGTTCTTTTTGTTATGATTATTTTTTGTTCTGTTTGCTAAAACTTTAATAAATATCTTTAAAAATAATAATAATTAGTTCATCTAAAATCTTCTTCTCAATTAGCTCCACTCTTATCTTTCTGGCATTACATTCAACAACTCGGTTGGAGAAACTCTGAGCTTCAATGGTAAAAAGCAAATGGGAGGTTTATTTGACATCATGAACATAGTTACATTCCCCAACAAGTCCTTCCTTCGAGTGAAAGTTGGACAAGTGGGTGACGATGCTCTTGAATCAAGAAAAATCATCATTCATGAGGACATGATAACATGGCACAAGGGTTTTAACCAGGTATGGATCCAGGGGTATTACTTTGGGCCCTGCTCTCTCTCTCCATTCCATTGAACAGAATCCAAACCTCATTTGTATAACAAAATGTTTGATAAACAAATCCCTCAGGTTCAATCATCTGCATTTCCAAGTAGGAATTGATAATATCACTGGCCTGTAATAATAAAGAGCCAGCTAAATCAATGATTAGGCCTCTAAGATTATATTTAAAGTTCCCGGGATGAGTTGATTTCAAGTTCACAAGCAAAATTAAACAAATAAATTAAATAAAATGTAATTTTTTTTAAAAAAAAAATCTTTCTTGATTATGGGTAGATGATGCCTATTTCTGTGTGTAATGACTGCTGCTCCCCTGGTCATCAGAAGAAAAGGAAGGAAGGAGAAAAATTTTGCTGCTATGATTGTGCTCCATGTCCAGAAGGGAAGATTTCAGACCGGAATGGTTTGTGACAAAGAATTCATTTTTATTTTCATAAGAGAAATGTTTTGGGGCCTAAAATATACTTATTAATGTCTGATTGCATGCTGTTTACAATGTTTCTTTGTTGATGCATTATATATCAAAGGGCATTTTGAAAAAATGAATGAGTCTCATGCAATACATTCTACATTGATTGGAGTTTAAGCCCTAAAAGAGTCGAAACGATCGTTCTCCCATTCAAGTCAGTGAGAGCACACAAGGGTATTTGCAACCCCTTTAAACTGTTAAAATAGGGGTTTAAATCCCATAGACTTTCAAGGAATAGCATTCCAAATAGTGTTTCTGAACTGCTGAGTTTCTGGGAGGCAGAGGAACTATATGAATTACATTTGGAATTTGACTTGTTTCTGTTTTTCAGATATGGATGACTGTTTCAGATGCCCAGAAGACCAATATCCAAACAGGAACAAACATGGTTGCATCTCCAAAACAATCACCTTTCTTTCTTATGAAGAACCATTGGGGATCAGCTTAGCCTCAATTGCTCTTTCTTTCTCCATTGTCACAACTTTTGTGCTTTTAATTTTTGTGAAGCACAGAGATACACCTATTGTCAAAGCCAACAATCGAGACCTCACCTACACTCTCCTCATCTCTCTTCTGCTCTGCTTTCAATCTTCTTTGCTATTCCTTGGCAAACCAGGGGAAGTGGCTTGCCTTCTCAGACAACCTGCTTTTGGCATCATCTTCTCCATGGCTGTTTCTTGTGTGTTGGCAAAAACTATTACTGTAGTTGTAGCTTTCATGGCCACCAAACCAGGGTCCAGCCTGAGGATGTGGGTGGGGAAAAGACTGGCCAACTCCATTGTCCTTTCCTGCTCCTTCATTCAAGCAGGTCTTTGCACTCTCTGGTTGGCCACTAGTCCTCCATTCCCAGATTTAGACATGCACTCACTAATAGAAGAAATCACTGTGCAATGCAATGAAGGGTCTGTGACTCTGTTTTCCTGTGTCCTGGGCTACTTGGGCCTCCTGGCTTTCTTCAGCTTTCTGTCAGCATTCCTGGCCCGCAAATTACCTGACAGTTTCAATGAAGCCAAGTTCATTACTTTCAGTATGTTGCTGTTTTGCAGTGTCTGGCTGTGCTTTGTCCCTACCTATCTGAGCACCAAAGGGAAATACATGGTGATGGTGGAGATCTTCTCCATCTTGGCCTCCAGTGCTGGGTTACTGGGCTGCATCTTTGTCCCGAAATGCTACATTATCTTGCTGAGGCCTGAGCTCAACAACAGAGAGCAACTAATAAGGAGAAAGAATTAATGTATCACTTAGTTTTGCCACCAATATATTATAAATGAAGGGTATGGGTTAAGCACAGTTCATTTATACTATTTAAACAAGTTCATTTAAAATATTTTGCCTGTCTCCTCACACAGTTTCTGTTGGTTCTTCGCATCCTATTTAGTCCCCTCACCTCATATATCTCTCAGTTAAGTGCCACCAGTCCTAATAGTGCCACCAGAGCTAATCAGAGAAGAGTGGGTGTTTTCTATGAAATGTGAATCTTGTGTATTAAAGCATAATAAAGCTTCCTTTCACTTAGCATAGCCTAATAAAAACAGTAAGCAAAACAGTAAGGACCCTCGTACTTACGGGACCGCCTCTCCTGGTATGTCCCACAGAGAACCCTAATGTCCATGAATAATATTAGCTTAAACGTCCCGGGCCCCAAGAAAGCCAGACTATCCTCCACCAGGGCCAGGGTTTTTTCAGTGATGGCTCTGACCTGGTGGAATGCTCTCTCCCACGAAACTAGGGCCCTGCTGGACTTGATCACCTTTTGCAGGGGCTGTAAGCCAGAGCTATTCCTCCTGGCCTTCAATTTGAATTAGCCTGATCCTCTATTCCCTTTGCTCTTTCCTCTTCTATGAAGAAATCCTTTCTGGGACCCCACATTTAAATTCTTCCCGGGTCTCCTTGCTGGCCTTAGTAGGACCAACTTGGCCAGTTAGCCCTGGGAATCATTTGATGTCTACGTACTGGGCTTTTCTTTTCTCCCCCCAAAAATGACCCCTGAATTTTTGAATTTCATTGATATTGATGCTGCATTTTATGTTGTATTTTATGCTGTTTTTAAGTCGCCTTTTAATCAATGTTTTATATTTGCTGTTAGCCGCCCTGAGCCCAGTTTTTAAACTGGGAAGGGTGGGGTATATATAAAAAAATATTTATTATTTATCAATATAAAATGATGAAAAAGAATGAAGGAAGGAACCCAGGGAAAGCAGAGCTCCACAGCAGGACAACAGAGAAAAAGTGCCTGGAAAGCGTTTTCTAAACAGGACTGTGTTCTGATCATTTGCTGTATTGAGTCAAGCTACAGATTACATTGAGATGATTCCCTCTGATTCTTTGCTCCCTTTGGTTTATTGAAACCTGGTTTAGAACTGACAAACCATTCTAGTCCCAAATTAGAGATTCACAGGACAATTCATACTCGTGGAATCCTTGCAGAATGGAAGAGGAAATACTTCTACAGCTACAAAGAAAAGCAATTATTATCTTTTTTCACATTTTAAAGTTTTCATTCCACTGTGAATCCTGACCTGGACAATGCATGTTTCCTGGTGTTGCAGGATTACACCCCAAGCCCCAGTACAAATGAAATATGGGATTGTTTTGGTTGAACACTTTGATATCACTCTTAATCACATTATTTCAGGGTGACTTACAATACACAGAACTAAAATCATACTTGATCTTAACAATGCCTATATTTTTAAAAAAACAATTGACTGTGATTTGCATCTACAAAAGTAATGGCTTCACTCTGACTTTCCTGGCAATATTTGCTCAGGGAAGAACTCACGGGCAGAGGTAACATGGATTCACAGTTTAGAAAACAAACCCAACCCAATGCATTGGTTACCAAAAGTGCCACTCTGCGCTAAACCTCTGGAAAAAAATGTCTCTCCATGCAATTAACCAAATCATTGTATTTTGTTCAATTCATCAAAGCTCAAGGGGCTTTGCAGTAGCCACTTGAAAAGAGTCAATAAGCAAGCCTAGATGTTGTTAGAATAAATAATACTCTATTCAGCAGAATAGTCAGTGTAGGGGCAGCTTCCAGGCATGGCCACGTTCAATTTCATTTCTCACATTTCCCCGTTATTGGCCAAAATTGAAATGGGTGCTGGCTCCATTGGTAACTCCCTGTTTCTAAAGTGCAACTCACAAACCTCTTTTAGAATAGTATTCTCAGAGAAATTCCTAACCCAATGTAGTCCCTTCCTCTTAAAGGAAACGAGAGCATCAAAGAGCAAACTATAGAAGGATTAAAGTGGTGAAATCATCTAAGAAGTATGCACATAAAGGCACAGACTGGAAGGTGTTTCGTCTTACGAGGCTTGTGGGTAGAGGAAATAAGCCACACTGCTAGGATGTTTTGTCTATTGGTGTTGCTGTTTTTGCAAGTGCCTGGAGTGTGCAATGCAGATACAACCAGGTGTCCCACCAGTGACCCCTTTCCTGTTCCTCATGAGTGGTACCAGCCAGGTGGCCTCATCATCGGTGGGATTTCTTCTCAGATCTTTTATGTATTCTATGAAGTTTTCTTCAGAGAACAGCCTTCACAGAATATGTTCACACTTCCATAGTAAGGATCTCGCCACTTATCCCTTTAAATCCCCATTCCTTTTGTCTTATGTCTCCCAGATTTTATGCCTTAAAGCAATAAGTTTCTTCTCACTGTTGTATGTAAGCTGCTTTGTTGGCCTTTAGTGGCTGAATAAGGGGATAAAAATGCTTCGGGTGCATGAATAATTCTACTGGTTCACAAAGAAGCATTTACATAATTGAGAAAGTTCCAATAGGTTTATCCCTGAGCCCTTCTCATTCTCAATCAGTGTCTGAGTTTATTAAGGTAAGAGATGTTCAACACTGACTTTTATTTGGCCAAAATAAAAATGGGGGAGAAGGCTGTATGTTTGGTTTTATTTCCCCCTATAAATTTACAATTACTACATAGAACATAGAACAAATATTGTGGAGGAAAAGGGTGAAAATGAAAAGAAGAGAAAAATACAGGTAATGTGGAAAAGAGAGAGAACAAGCACTGTTTCAAAATCTGTCCACCTGATACACACAAACCCAAAAAACACCTTTTAGGAGTACAAAGTGTCCTCACAATTTCCTATCTCAAATTCCAAGCTCATGCTTCTTAAAGCCATGGAAACTATTTCTTATTTCATTATTCATTATTTACTTCATTTTTGAAGTGCTCTTCATGAGACTAGGAATTAAAAAGGCTTTGGTTTCCATTCCTCCATGTAATTGTCACCTGAGGTGCTGATTCTGTTTTGGTAAACCTTTTCATCCATCAAAAACTAAATTATTCATCTGGCTATCCAATGGGGTAAAATTATGTAACATTTGAAAATGTAAGATAAAATGCCATTTCATTTCTATGTGCAGGAAAATACAATAGAAATGGGTGGGCAGGGGATCGAATAAATTGTGCACCATTTGCAGTTTGCAAGCAACTGGAGCAGCACATGCAGATCGTATTCCCTGGACTGATTTCCTTTCTGGACATGAAAGGAATGAGTAAACATTGGTAATTTCTGCTCCCAGTTCTGTTTTCAGCACAATGGCCAATTGAAGTATCATCCTGAGACGTGAAAAGAGCTAAGACATCTACACATAAAAGTAAAATTAAAAAAAAAATGTAATACATATTTAGAATCAAATCAGATCCAATATAAATACTAACTGCGACAAAAGTAAATATATTTTACTGACTGTGGCACAGTGAATTCTCATCTCCCTACAGTTGTTATGGTCTTCCCAATTACAAAAAGTGACACAGATTCTTCTGGTATATTTAAATTGATATAACAGGGTATAGGCAGACACCGTCTATTTCAATCTTTAAACGCCTGATGAAAATGTTTCTATCACATCAAAGTTTTATAGGTAACTTAGAATACATAATTTCACCATATTTATCTGATTTCTGATTTTAATTTTTATATGATTTTATTGTATAATTTATGGTTCTGATAATTAATTCTTAAGGCTTCAATCCTCTGAGAGTAAGACCCACTGAACAAAGTTGGGTGTCATTCTGAATAGAAATGCCCAGGTTTGAATTGGATGTTGTCAGATTTGTTCCCTTTAGGATCAGTGGTACCTTGAAAGTCATGACTAACTTGCTTCATTGGTTTAAATGAGAACTAACTTTAAGGAACTTACACTGTATTCTTACAAATAAACACCAGAAGCTGCCTTATACTGAATCAGACCATTGATTGATCTTGCTCAGTATTGGAAACAGAAATGGATAGGAGATCTCCAGAGTTTCAAGCAGGGAGACTTTCCCAGATCTACTGGAGTTGTCACCTGGGACCTTCTAGATGAAAAACTGATGGTCCGCCAAACTGCCAAAGAGCAACAATCCATCCAGGACTGTCTACCAAGAAGTCAATGGGATTTATTTCCTGGTAGTTTTAGGACTGGAGCTTTCATGGTCCAGAGCACACTTAATCATGAATATGAAGTGGTTGAACACGGAAAGAGAGCTGAGAGTTTTTTAAAAATCTAGTCAACTGAAAAGGAAAAGCAGGAGATTAACAATAGGTTTTTTGAATTAATATGCAGAATTAAAACTAAGTGCTGTTGGGGCTATATGATATTTTTTGGAATATGAGTTACAGAAACGATCAATTTTGTGATATGTTGATTCCACACATTGCAGATTTTACAATAGAAATTGTGAATATCTAACTTCATTTGCAGTGTGGTGACAAAATTCTACCAGCACACCCTTTCCTTGGCTTTTGCTATAAAAGAGATAAATGACAGCCCCAAGATCTTGCCCAATCTCACCCTTGGATTCCACATCTATGACAGTTATTACGATGCAAGGATGACCTATCGGACAACTTTGGACCTACTTTTCAAATCACATAGATTTGTCCCCAACTACAAATGTGACATTCAAAAAAACCTTATAGCCATCATTGGGGGACTTAGCTTTGATACCTCCCTCTCTATGGCTGACACCATAGACCTCTACAAGATACCACAGGTAGGACCGATGAATGGGCTTTTCACAATTTATATTTTTTTCTCTTAATAATAATGCAGATTGGTCATTTGACTCTCCTGGACAACATATTTGGAATGACAATTGGTGTAAAATGAAGCAGCCATATTACTAGCTGGAATTCCTTTTAGAAGGCTGATGATGAAGAAGATGATGACAATAATAATACTTCAGAAAGAGGCTGTTTACTGAGGTTATTCCTTGCAAGTCGGAGCTAAATGCTAGAATATGAGGATGAAGGAAAATATTCAGATTTCTTAAAATCAACATAACAATAGACAAAATTATCTAGAAGAGTCCTTGGGTTGAACTGTCCTTGAACCTATGAATGGCTCTGACTTAATCTTTGTTGAATGAACAGGCACAGGATCAAAATGAAGGTTCATCCATATGTAACTCTATAATGTTTGTACACTTCCTTTTAGCTCACATATGGGTCATTTCCTCCAGGGGAGAGTGATGCCGACCAGTTCCTTTCCTTTTACCACTTGGTTCCCAGTGACAGCCATCAGTCTATTGGGATCATCAGCTTACTAAAGCATTTTGGATGGAAATGGATTGGACTTTTTGTTTTGGAAGGTGACGGTGGAGAAAATTTCTTGCAGACTCTGGAACCATTGCTTTCTAGGCACGGAATCTGTTCATCCTTCACACATAAAATACCACACGTAGCCAATATAGATAAGCTGAGTGAAACTGTGGATGTGCTCTTCAATATTTATCTCTCTTTAACAGATGATAAAGTCAGTGCATGTATAATCTTTGGAGAATCTTTAACCCTTATATGGATGGGAGGTGTACTAGTTCTAGGAGATTCTGAAAAGAAGGGAAGCTCATCATTTAGAAAGGTGTGGATCATAACAACCCAGACTGATTTCATATTAGTGGCTTTCCAAAAGCTTTTAGATCTTCAGACCTTTCAAGGTTCCATTTCCTTCACAATTCATTCAAAAGAGCCTCCGGGGTTCAATGAATTTCTTCAGAGCATTAAGCCTGATAAAATAAAAGAAGATGGTTTTCTTAGGGACTTCTGGGAGCAAGCATTTGACTGTACATTCCCAAACCCCAGTTTGACAACGGAAGCCAATGAATCATGTACTGGGGATGAGAGGCTAATGAGCCTTCCTGGACCTCAGTTTGAAATGGGGATGACTGGCCACAGCTACAGTATCTACAATGCTGTCTATGTTGTGGCTCATGCTTTGCATGTCATTTACTCAACAAGAGCAAAGCAGAGAGCAATGGCCCGAGATAAAAACTATGAACATCAGAATCTGCAACCTTTCAAGGTAAAGTGTTGAAATCAAATTCTTCTTAATTCAATGGCTTTAGAGGTCCAAAAGGAGACCACACAAGATTATCATCCACAAGTACAATTTATTCCCGGAGAATGCTCGAATCATGGAAATATAGAATTGCATAGTGGGAAGGGATTCTAAGGCTTAACTTTACTAAACCATACTTGCCAATTTAATGCTTTTTACCCCTTTATGTCTTGTTATGTTTCAATTAGCTCCACCCTTTTCTTCTTGACATTGCATTTAACAACTCTGCTGGAGAAACAGTGAGTTTCAATGGTAAAAAGAAAACCGGAGGTGCTCTTGACATCATGAACATAGTTATATTCCCAAACAAGTCCTTCCTTCGAGTGAAAGTTGGTCAAGTGGACAATGATGCCCTTGAAGCAAGAAGAATCATCATTCAGGAGGACAAGATTACATGGCACAAAGGTTTTAACCAGGTATGGGTCCGGGAGTATTATTGTGGGCCCTGCAGGCTCTATCTGAAAAACAAAATGGTTGAAATGCAAAGGTCCCAAGTTCAATCTTCTTAATCTCCAAGTAGACTTTGAAAACAACACTGGTCTGTAATCAAAAGCAGCAAGATGAACCAATGATCAGCTCCCCCCCTCACTTTTAAGAGATTTTTTTAGGACAGGTACTTTCTGCATCTCCAAGTAGGCTTTGAAAATGACACTGGTCTGTAATAAAAAATAAAAAAAAGCCAGATGTACCAATGATGATGATAATAATAATAATAATAATAATAATAATAATAATAATAATAATGATGTTTATTTATTTATAGCCCGCCCTCCCCAGCCAAGGCCGGGCTCAGAGCGGCTTACAAACAATAATAAAAACAAGTTGAAAGATTACAACTTAAAAACAAAATTTTTAGTTGAAAAGGCCCTGGCTCTGGTTGAAGCTAATCTAACTTCCTTAGGGCCCGGGACCACTAGGGTGTTGCTATTTATGGATCTTGAGGCTCTCCGTGAGGCATACCAGGAGAGGCGGTTCTGTAGCTACGAGGGTCCTAAGCCATGAAGGGCTTTAAAGGTCAAAAGCAGCACCTTAAATCTGACCCTGTACTCTACCGGGAGCCAGTGCAGCTTGAAAACCACTGGGTGAATATGCTCCCATGGCAGAGACCCCGTGAGGAGCCTCGCTGCAGCATTCTGCACCCGCTGGAGTTTCTGGGACAGCTTCAAGGGCAGCCCCGCGTAGAGCGAATTACAGTAGTCAAGCCTGGATATGACCGTCACATGGATCACTGTGGCCAGGTTGGGCAGGAAAGGTAAGGGCCCAACTGCTTGATGCGGCGAAGGTAGAAAAATTTCACCTTGGCTGTTGCTGTAATCGGCTCCCACGAAACCATCCAGCCACAGCTTCCAAGCATCTGGTCAGTGTGTTCGGGGCTGAGTCGGTGTGGACATCCATCAGCAGATAGAGCTGGTGTCATCAGCATATTGGTGACAGCACAGCCCAAAGTTCCGGAAAATCTGGGCAAGGGGGCGCATAAAGATGTTTAAAAGCATCGGGGAGAGAATTGCACCCTGCGGCACTCCACACACCAAGGAGTGGCGTGTCGACATTTCCCTTCCTAGTGCCACCCTCTGCCCCCGACCAGAGATAAAAGAGCACAGCCAGTTACGGGCTATGCCCTGTATCCCCACGTCTGCGAGGCGGTGGTCCAGACGATCATGATTGACCATGTCAAAGGCTGCTGACAAATCTAAAAGGATCACCAGTCCTGACCCGCCTCGATCCAGTCGTCTACGGAGATAATCTGTTAGGGCAACCAGAGCTGTCTCAGTCCCAAAACCAGGACGAAACCGGACTGAAATGGATCTAAAGCCGTTGTCCTATCCACCTTTTTAGGGATTCATGATCTACATTTATAGCACAAGTTTATACTTACCGTATTTTTCGCACGATTGGACGCACCGGACCATAGGACGCACCTAGTTTTTTGGGGGGGAATAAAGGAAATTCCCCCCCTTTATTTCCCCCCCAAAAGCAGGTCAGGGAAACCGAACCAGGTCGAGGAACAGCAGGATAGTGGTGCTGCGCCTCCCTGGTGTCCCCCAAGCTTGTGGGGCTGGCTGATGTCTGCCTGGCGCGCGGGGCGCTCTGCTTCAGGGCGCCCCACCCGCCGGGCGGCAGGCTACTATCCGCAGCGTGGGGAGCCCTGTGGGGAACTCCTGCAAGGCTCCCCACTCTGCGGATGTCTGCCTGGCGCGAGGGGCGCTCTGCTTCAGGGCGCCCCACCCGCCAGGCAGCAGGCTTATCTGCAGCGTGGGGAGCCCTGTGGGGAACTGCTGCAGGGCTCCCCACGCTGCGGATGTATGCCTGGCACGAGGGGCGCTCTGCTTCAGGGCGCCCCACCCGCCAGGCAGCAGGCTGCTATCCGCAGCGTGGGGAGCCCTGTGGGGAACTCCTGCAAGGCTCCCCACTCTGCGGATGTCTGCCTGGCGCGAGGGGCGCTCTGCTTCAGGGTGCCCCACCCGCCAGGCAGCAGGCTGCTATCCGCAGCGTGGGGAGCCCTGTGGGGAATTCCTGCAAGGCTCCCCACGCTGCGGATGTGTTCCCGAAGCGCCTGGAGCTCTGCTTTCAGGGCGCCCGACGCTCCGGGAAGCAGGCTGCTATCCGCAGCCTAGACACGGCTAGCGGAGCGCTAATCCCGAAGCTTGGGGCGTGCGGAGCTCAGCGCGCCCCAAGCTTCTGGGCGCCGGCAAGGTCTCCGCTAGCCCTTGCTGGCGCCCAGAAGCTTGGGGCGCGCTGAGCTCCGCACGCCCCAAGCTTCGGGATTAGCGCGGCGCTTCGCTAGCCCTGGGAGAGCCCCGCGACGTCGCGGGGCTCTCCCAGGGCTAGCGAGACCTTGCTGGCACCCAGAAGCTTGGGGCGCGCTGAGCTCCGCATGCCCCAAGCTTCGGGATTAGCGCGGCGCTTCGCTAGCCCTGGGAAAGCCCCGCGACGTCGCGGGGCTCTCCTAGGGCTAGCGAGACCTTGCTGGCACCCAGAAGCTTGGGGCGCGCTGAGCTCCGCACGCCCCAAGCTTCGGGATTAGCGCGGCGCTTCGCTAGCCCTGGGAGAGCCCCGCAATGTCGCGGGGCTCTCCCAGGGCTAGCGAGACCTTGCCAGCACCCAGAAGCTTGGGGCGCGCTGAGCTCCGCACGCCCCAAGCTTCGGGATTAGCGCAGCGGTCCGCTAGCCGTGGGAGAGCCGCGCGACGTCGTGGGGCTCTCCCACGGCTAGCGGAGACCTTTCTGGCACCCAGAAGCTTGGGGCGCGCTGAGCTCCGCACGCCCCAAGCTTCGGGATTAATGCAGCGCTCCGCTAACCGTGGGAGAGCTGGGTCTCCCACGGCTAGCGGATAGCTTCCTGAAGCCTGGAGAGCGAGAGGGGGCGGTGCGCACCGACCCCTCTCACTCTCCAGGCTTCAGCGAAAGCCTGCATTCGCTCCATAGGATGCACACACATTTTCCCTTGCTTTTTAGGAGGGAAAAAGTGCGTCCTATGGTGCGAAAAATACAGTAACATTTCTGAGATGAGTCTTTCAAGTTCATGAGCAAAAAAGAAAACAAATAAAGAAATTAAATATATTTTTTATTATTATTATTTTGAGGGGAGGAATGGAGACTTTCTCCCAGCTGACTTTTCTTTCCTCCTGATGGATAGGTGGTGCCTATTTCTGTGTGTAATGACCACTGCTCCCCTGGTCATCAGAAGAAAAGGAAGGAAGGGGAGAAATTTTGCTGCTATGATTGTGCTCCATGTCCAGAAGGGAAGATTTCAGACCAGAATGGTTTGTGACATAGAAATCATGTTTTATTTTCATTGGCTAGGATTGGGATGGTTTGCTTCTTTAGATTTAATTGCTATCTTTAATTACCATGCTGCCTGGAATGTTTCTCTGTTGACTTCCAATATCTTCCCAGGGACATTTTGAAAAATGAGGAAGCCTCATGCAATACATTTTATATAGATTTGAGTCTGAGCGCTAAAATAGACAAAATGATCTATGGTAGTTGCACACCTACTTTATGATATCCTAAACAGAAAAAAATATAAAAATGGCCAAAACAAATGGTCAAAAAGTCCGGAGGCCGGACTGGAATGGATCCAGAGCACACTGTCTTGCCTAGAACAGCAACATGGCCACAGAATTCTGCCCAAGCTGAAGTTCCTAAACCATCTTCAGAGGTGGCCCATCTATAACCCATTGCAGTTCACTAACCTATATGTAACCAAAGGAAAGATGACAGAAGTTAGGCTATCCCTGTCCAGAAAAAGGCAGCTGTGGTGGTGGCCAAAACTGAGGATGCAACCGCCAATTAATCTAGGAAACCTCATTCTTATCTGGATTGTGCTTCAGTTTATAAGTAAAATCATGAAAATAACTATCCACTGTCTCTGCATCCAGCCAAAATAGGTGCAGATGTTGTAATAGCTGCTACACAGTATCACATAACATGTGTTAGAATAATTGTTATACCGAAAGCCCACAACTTACCCAGGAGTTGCAACTCCGGGATCACACCTAAAGCCCAAGTTGTGTATAGTAAAAAATACTGGATTCAGTGGCAGGTGGGATTGGCCAAGTCCTTTTTCCCAGGCACAAGCTCCCTTTCCTCTATTATTTTTCATTTTCTTTCCAATTGTGTAAAGTGCACAAAGGTCAAATGTCCGTAAGTTGTGAGCTAATTAAAGGGCACTTTCATTTTACCACAGTGCATTAAGAATGCCCAGGTTGAAATCCCAAAACGGTCATATGGGAGGCAAAAGAAGCAAATGAATTTTGTTTAGTATTTGACCTGTTTCTGTTTTTCAGATATGGATGACTGTTTCAGATGCCCAGAAGACCAATATGTAAACAGGAACAAAGATGGATGCATCTCCAAAACAATGAGCTTTCTTTCTTATGAAGAACCCTTAGGGCTCATCTTAGCCCCAATTGCTATTTGTTTCTCCATTGTCACAACTTTAGTGTTTTTAGCTTTTGTGAAGCACAGAGATACACCCATTGTCAAAGCTAACAACCGAGATCTCACCTACATTCTCCTCATCTCTCTTCTGCTCTGTTTTCAATCTTCTTTGCTATTCATTGGCAAACCAGGGGAAATGGCCTGCTTCCTCAGACAACCTACTTTTGGCATCATCTTCTCTGTGGCTGTTTCTTGTGTGCTGGCCAAAACCATTACCGTAGTTGTAGCTTTCATGGCCACCAAGCCAGGGTCCAGCCTGAGGATGTGGGTGGGGAAAAGACTGGCCAACTCCATTGTCCTTTCCTGCTCTTTGATTCAAGCAAGTCTGTGTACTCTCTGGTTGGCAACTTCTCCCCCATTCCCAGATTTAGACATGCACTCACTAATGGAAGAAATCACTGTGCAATGTAATGAAGGGTCTGTGACCTTGTTTTCCTGTGTCCTGGGCTACATGGGCCTCCTGGCTTTCTTCAGCTTCCTCTCAGCATTCCTGGCCCGCAAATTACCTGACAGTTTCAATGAAGCCAAGTTCATTACTTTCAGCATGTTGCTCTTTTGCAGTGTTTGGTTGTGCTTTGTCCCAACCTACCTGAGCACCAAAGGGAAGTACATGGTGATGGTGGAGATCTTCTCCATCTTGGCCTCTAGTGCTGGCTTACTGGGCTGCATCTTTGCCCCAAAATGCTATATTATCATGCTGAGGCCAGAGCTGAACAACAGAGAGCAACTAATAAGGAGAAAGAATTAAGGCAGCTCTTTGATTTGCCATCTTTTTATTGTTAAAAAGGAAGGGTAAGGGTTATGCATATTTCATTTATACCATTTACAAAAGTTCATTCAAAGTTAATTACATGTTGACTTCTTGGAGGAAATTTTGCTGGTGAACATGCCCGTTGACAGCCAAGACTTAAATCTTTGTTAGTATAATAATAACAATAATAATAATAATAATAATAATAATAATAATAATAATAATAATAAATCTTTATTGTCATTGCCCCCTCTCGGGGACAACGAAATTACTTGGCTGCTCCATCCACCCAGGTAGGGCACTCCACACAAAATCAAAACAACTATAAAAACACTAATTAAAACAATACAGTATAATACAGCAAGGAAGATTAGATGACTTTCAAAGTCCAGGCTTCCCATTCAGGGCCGAGATCGCTCTGGAGAAGAAGCTGTTCTTAAGACGGCTCGTTCTTGTCTTCATCGTCCTGTATCTCCATCCCGACGGCAGGAGCTCGAAGAGACAGTGACCAGGATGCGATGGATCTTTTACTATGTCCAGTGCCTTCCTATGGCACCCTCCCTTGTGTGATAGGGAGATTAACCCCACATGCTCTGAAGAAAGCTGATTATGAGAACTTTCTGGAGGCAGATAAAGTTTTGCAACGAGAATCCGCCATTATGCCCAGATACTGCATAATAGCATTGTAGGTTAGCTCTCAGAACCTCATGTCAGTTGAGCCTCCCTTCTTTCAACTATTTTTGAGACTAGAATATTTTGAGATTATAACTTGGATTACCCTGCCTGCCAATTAATTTTCATCAGGAATGTCAATTGAATGCTGGCCCAAGAAGAGACATTAGCTAACAATAAATAGCAGACTGTAAGAAAATACCAGAGACATATTATTTTTTTGAGATTAAGAAAGATTATAAATGGATAAGGATGCTCTGGTGATTAAGAATAAACATTTTATCTTACTTTTAACTCTCTGTTCTTTCTGTGAGTGCGGGCTGCAGAAGTGAAATCACATCCCTCAGCACTTCTGTCTCAAAGAGACAGACACAAGATTACAAGGCAGACACTGTTAAGGTGGAGAGAAATATAATACAATACGGCAACAATATTATTGAATACCCCACTGATTGTTGGTATTGTGTGGCATTTATTGGGTGAGCAATTGAAAGAGCTCATAGAAAACCAAGGTTCTACATGTGGCCTTTATTTCAGGATTTCCTGCTTTGCATCCACAAAGAAAATGTGATGGAGGCATAGCAAAGCCATCAGAGATCATAGCCATTAATATTTTCTATGAGTTTGTCTAATACTCCTTTGAAGGCTTCAAAAGCTGTGCCCATCATTGCCTTTTGAGGGAACAAATTCCATAGCTTAATCATGTACTTCATGAAGATTTTAGTGTTCTTTTGCCTGTTCTGAATCATCCGACACTCACTTTCCTCTGATGTCCCTGAGATTATGTTGCTCCTTACTCATTTTTGCACTAAAATAATCCCCTCAAATGCTGCAGTCTAGCCTTGCCAGTTTCCTCACAGGATGACAAATATGAGTACTACATAACTCACCATTCTGGTTTGAAATTTCCCCTTCTGGACATGGAGCACAACCAGAGCAGCAAAACTTTCCCCCTTCTTTCTTTTTCTTCTAATTGCCAGGGTGGCAGTGGTCATTACACGGAGAAAGGGGAGTCACCTATCCATAGCAGAAAAGCAGTTTAGGAGATCAGAGAAACTAATTGCTTATTTGATTTCTATTAATGAAGTTCACTACACAGCAAACAAAGGTTTCATATAAAAAAACTGCAGTATGCAGCTGCGTTAACTATGAATCACATTATTTGGGATCCCCTCCAAACCTATGAAAAACTTTGCAATCATTCTTCAGGAAAAAAAATCCAATTCTAAGGTGCCCCAAAATATGGTTTGACTTCCCCAACATGGTGCAATACTGGACAAACACAATCCAAAATTGTTCAATTCACACCAAACCTGTGCCAAAGTTTTCCATTTGTGGATTGTGGGTGACCAGTAGGGCACTAAGTTTGTCAGGTCAGCCACACATAATGAGGGCTCCCCAAAATGCAAAGTTTGTAATGCAAAATGCTGCAAAACAATTGAAGAACAGTTCACCAGGGCTTCATTTTAACCCTGCCTGGAGATGGTCTTTCAGATGATTCCCTGTTGGCCTGTTGGAATGTGGAGCTAACCAGGGCTATTGACTGTTTGGCTGCAAAGCGCCCTCTCCGATTGCATGGAGCCCGGACAGCTCCATGGTTTTGCATGGATCTGAGGGCAATGAAACAATCACTGAGATGGCTAGAGCGCCAGTGGCAGATAACTCATTCTGAAGCTGACCGAACACGGGTTAGAGCTCAATGTCAAGCCTACCAAGTGGCGATAGCGATGGTGAAAAAGACTTTCTTCACTACCTCTATTGCATCTGCAGAAAACAGCAGCAGAAGACTCTTTCCGGTGGTTCGCAATTTAGCGGAACCACTTGCTCCATCGGGGCCTATTATGGGCCACATGATCTCCTGCACTGATTTGGCAAAGTCACTCAGATTCGGGAAGAGGTAGACTCCACTTTGGGAGCAGGGGTGGGGCGGGAGAGTGCTAGAGTCCTGTCTAGTCAAGTTGCATGGGATCAATTCCAATCTGTTACCTCCGAGAATGTGGACAGGTTGCTTGGACGTTGGAAACCAACCACCTGTCTCCTTGATCCTTGCCCATCCTGGCTTATAAAAGCAAGACGGGAAGGGCTGGGTGATGGGCTTCATGGGGTGGTGAATGCTTCTCTCTGTGAGGGAGCCTTCCCAGACCTGCTGAAAGAGGCGGTCATTACACCGCTTCTTAAAAAAAAATATCTCTAGACCCAGCCAATATGGCCAACTATCACCCAGTCTCAAATCTTCCATTCTTGGGCAAGGTGATTAAGCGAGTGGTTGCTGAACAACCAGGCACATCTGGAAGAAGAGGACTATTCAGGCCTCATCCTGGGACTGAAACTGCCTTGGTCGTGCTGGTCAATGATCTCTGGCAGGGTAGGGACAAAGTGAGAGCTATTTCCAAGTTCTGCTGGATCTCTCAGTGGCTTTTGATACCATTGACCATAACATCCTTCTGGACTGTCTAGAGGGGCTGTGAGCTGGGGGCACTGTTATGAGTGTTCAGACCCCTGGGCTCTCACTTGTGTGGTGCCTCAGGGTTCTATCCTCTCCCCCATGCTTTTCAACATCTACATGCAACTGCTGGGATAGATCAGGGAGTTTGGGTTGGGTGTTCATCAATACGCGGATGATACCCAGCTCTACCTCTCTTTCAAAACAGAACCAGTGAAGGCGGTGAAGGTCCTGTGTGAGTGTCTGGAGCCGGTTGGAGGATGGATGGTGGCTAAGTACTGTTTTGGGGGGACAGGAGACGAGCAGGTGTGGAGGACTCCCTGGTCCTGAATGGAGCAACTGTGCCCTTGAAGGCCCAGGTGCGCTGCCTGGGAGTCATTTTGGACTCACAGCTGTCCATGTAGGTCAGTTTTGTGTCCAGGGCAACTGTTTACCAGCTCCATCTGGTACGCAGGCTGAGACCCTCTCTGCCCACGGACGTCTCACCAGAGTGTTGCATGCTCTAGTAATCTGTTGCTTGGATTACTGCATTGAGCTTTATGTGGGGCTACATTTGAAGGTGACCCGAAAACTACAACTAATCCAGAATGTGGCAGCTAGACTGGAGACTGGGAGCAGCCCCCGAGACTTTTGCAAACAATACATGTTCTATTACTTAGTTATTGTCTCCATACAATAGAAAAAGATGTTACCGAATGGGCACCTATGTAGTAATATCATTGATATATTCCAAAGCTTTGCTTTATATATATGGAAGATATAGTTATACCAAAATATAATGGTTTCCCCCCGGTATCAATTTTGAATGTGCCAAGCAGCCACATTTTTCCTTGGCTATATCAGATAGAAACAACAGTTTTAAAAAATGGAATTTCCGACATTTGAAGAACACATCACAAGACCAGTGAGGACCCGAAGGATTCCCAGAATTCAGACATGATTAAAACCTCTGTGCCACATCTTCATATCTTCATGAATGATGAATGCTTCTCCTTCAAGATCATCAGGATCAACTTGTCCAATTTTCATTTGAAGGAAGGACTTGTTTGGGAAGGTGATCATGTGGAGAGGAGTTTGGTGAAAACCATTTCACAGAAAATCGAATCCTTAAGTTCCATTGTTCACTTTGGGAAGAGCATCTTTTATGTATTCCGATCCCAAGCTGCACCTTGACCTCATTTGCAGGTGGTTCAGTTCTTTCATCAACAGTGCCATAACATGATGGTGAAATTCTGCCCCAGTCAGCAACTGAGCCACTGCCTTTTTTACTAGCTGCAAAAGCCAGCCTCAGGGGCAGCCCCACAAAATGTGCATTGCAGGAGCAATTCATTCTGAAGGCTACCATTGCAAATGAAACACTATCCGAAGGGCTTGAAGGCCTGGAAAGGCATGTGGAAGGAAGAGAAGGTCCCAACAAAATAAGAGTGGATTACCAAAATGATGGATTATGCTGAATGGGCAAAAATGACCGTGAAGATCAGACATCAAGATGATAAAGTTTTTAAACAAGAATGGGACAATTTTGTTGATTACCTTAAACTCCACTGTAGCTATTTAGAAACATTAGCAGGCTTGATATAACATTTATGAAGTAAAATGAATTAAAGTAGTAAATAAGGAGATGAAATAGAATGGATAATTATATGCAAGAAATGAGGATAAAATATGGAAACCAGGGTGGGACAGGGGGAAGTCTGAGGGGTTTGTATAATCCCAGTTTTGTATATATGGAAAATGTTTGGCGTGTATGGAAATAATGTTAACATAAATAACTTGGGGGGGAGGGGTAAGAAAAAAGAAAGAACGCCTGGGAAAGCAATTGATTAATTCTTTTCTTGTTGAGGAATCGGGGGGGGGGGGAGGATTGTGTGTTTGGAGAAGA